CAGATGGCAGCCGCCAATGGGGTTGGTATACAATAAGTATTGCTGTGCTTCTGGCTGTCCACATAACCTCTTAACTTTGCACAAATGCACACAAGTACAAAGATTTGTGTGTGGTATACACCTCAGTGCTACTAACATCCAGTCAAGTTTCATTGGGACTTTAGAGATTGTATACTGTGATATTACCCCTGAAATTACATCAGTCCCATTGGGATACGGGAATGTAAGTTCAGTTTCTTATGTTGTGTTCTGTGCCTGTTGCTTGAAAAAGTACCTGTTGCCTTTAAGCATTTAAAGCGCCCCAGCCTTAAGCTGTCTTATCTACAGTCTAACTAGTTTTGAGGGGCACTCATACTCTCCTGTGTATGAGGATCTAATGAGTAGCAAAGAGAGGAGGATTTTGTTTTCTTTCAATGGCTCCCTTGTTGAAGTTCAGTCACTTGTCAAACAGGAAAACAAAAGCCAGGGCATGCTGTTATTTGTGGATCCTGGTAGTCATGCAGAAATGCTAGGAGGGGATTGGAAAATGTTCGGTGTGAGCCTTCCAAGAGGACCTGTTATGGGGGAACCCGCTTATAATGACGTTGAACACAAAGAAGCCCTGTGTGTGGTGAATTTGTGCAGCAGGGTAGAGATAATAACTCCTGTGAGACTATAATACAAGGAGGCTCTGCTAAAGTGCTGCTTCGTGAAAAATTGTGTTGGCTAAATTAACCAAATCAGGAGGAATCTTACACCAGGAAGCACTGATCTTGATAATTTAACAATTTGCACAGTCCCACTGATTTACAGGAAGGCAGGCATCAGGACTTTGCTGTTATTGCTCTGGAAAGTCCTCTGCGGGACCAAAAAATATATTTTTAGTGTTTTAGATTGCACTTAGCAATAACTTGGAGCACACAGTCCTTCAGTACTCATAAATTTTGAAAATCTGTTGTAATTCCCTTCTGGAAGTGATTCTGATTCTGAGAACATTAAATTTAGGATTGCAGCCAAACACGTTGGGCATTCATTTTCAGTCTATTTTAATAATATGCTAAGCAGGTGTGATTGCAAAGGCCAAATTTAAAAAACCATGCATTATCAAATTATATTTAGAAGTGTTTATAGATCCTGTTGTTTATAACGTGAAGTGTCCTTTATACCCATTTTCAGAATCCGAATGCCTCTCATGTAAAATTTGCTGATGAAGCACTCAAATATGACATTATTATGAAGCATACATATTTTTAAGATAAAATGTGACATGCTGTAAATTTCATCTTTGAGGAGAGCTGCAAAGGGAATGGTATTAAGATGCTTTTAATCTTTTGGGAGAGAACGAATGGAACATTATTTCTCTGCATATATCTAGATTGTTGAGTGGCTCTGGTACACTGTCCCTTTTGCTGTGATATATTTGGCTTCATTTCATTTTTGTGCAAAGCTAAAGGATGTGGAAGAGGTGGTAGGAATATGTAATTCAGGCAGACCCTATAGACTTCCTAAGATTTACGATCTGAAGGTTTGCTAAATAATACATTTAAGTGATAATAATTGACTAAATACGGTAACTGCCTATTTGTTAGAGCTGAAGCAGCCTGAGCAATATTTTCAAGTCTTTTCAAGGACATTTCTTATTAAAAATAGTGCTGCAGTTAAAGCAGTCATGCTCCCCAGCTGAATTACGTAAAACATTTAGTGGGCTGATAAAGCACTTTAATCTGATAAAACCTATCAAATCTTAGTTTGATTTCCTTTTCTAACATATCCTAAATTCTCACTATTTTAACATCCCTTTGATTGTGGGCAGATCCTCTTAGGGAGGCAATCTAAAGGGAAGTGATTTATTGCCACAGGTTTTGGTAGAAGTCAGCGTTCCTTCCTCAGCTTTGTCAACACCCCTCCACCCATGAGCTGATTCTAGGAGAGCACTTCAGCTTAGTGAGCCAAATGGAGATCATTTCTCTTCTTCTCTTTGGTACACTTTTCTTTGGTACATTCATGGATAATAGAATATACTCTGCCTTTGACTTTATTTTGCACAGAGCTGTCTGCATTTACAGGCAATTTTCATGTACAAAATAAGACATTGGTGGGGCTCCCTTTATGGTACTGATATCTCATTCAGTCCCCAGAGCTTTAAACCTAGAGATGTTTTAGAAATGAGAATAGAACCTGTGTGTGTGACTAGCAGAGCAAAGAAAATGAAACTTGGTTTTTTTGTGTGTGAAATGTGAGAAACCACTAGGCCCTATTGTCAAGTAAAAGGAATATTTTAAAGTTTGCTTCCTATCATGGTTGACTATAAAATGCTGGGGGTGGGGAGTGGGGTATCCAGCTTGGTAGCAGGATGCGAGTTACTCATTCATAAGGGAGTAGTGGGCGAGGAGGGAAGGCAGGAAAGGCTGTTTGGTGAAGGACTCTCAGTGCAGGACTAAGGGTGTATCTCTAAGTTGGTAGACACTTGGGGCCCAGGGAAGAGTTTTAAAAAAAATATATGGTAAAGTATACATAAGATAGAATTTGCTATTTTAACCATTTTCAAGTGTACAATTCAGTGGTATTAATTACATTCACAGTGTTCTACCATCACCACTAGCTGTGTCCAGAATCTTTTCATCTTCTCATTTGCAACTCTGTACGCACTAAACAGTAACTCCCCATCGCTCTCCCCCAAGCCTCTGGAATCTTTGGTTCTACGTTTTGTCTGTGAGTCTGCCCATTCTGTGTACTTCATACAGGTGGGACCATACAATACTTGTCCTTTAGTGTCTGGCTTATTTTACTTAGTATAATGTTTTCAAGGTTCGTCCATGTTGTAGCCTGTATCGGAATTGCCTTTCTTTTTAAGACAGTGCTATCCCATTGTATGTATATACCACATTTTGTTTATCCATTCATCTTTTTGATGAACATTTGGGTTGTTACCACCTTTGGCTATTGTTTTAACACTGTTATGAACATGGGTGTGCCAATATCTGTTTGAGCCCCTGCTTTCTTTTTATGTCTATACCTAGAAGTGGAATTTTGGGGTTATATGGTACAGAGAAGGTTTTTGAGTAGAGGAGGGACACGGATCTACAGTTTAGAGAAATGAACTAGGTGGGCCTAAGTAGGTCTGGTGGATTCGGGGGGGGGAGGGCAGGGGAGGTACCGGAGGGGGAGAGGCAGGGGACTGAGACAGGAGCAGTTACGATGCTCCAGACATCCTTAAGGGAAGGAGGATAATAGAGTCATGTCTCCCCAATATCAGCCTGAAGATGAATATTCCTGAGGATAATTTACAGGAAAGAGTCTGCCCTGGAAGGGACTATTTTGGCCAGCTGTACCTGTTCTTGGGCTCAAGAGAAAGAACCTGCCATGGACTTCCCTTTGCCTTTCTTAACTTTCTTTCTTACTCTTGCCTCCTCATATAATCTTCTCAGTCTTGGACCATTTCTGACTGCAGATCTCACCATAAGGAATGGTAGAATTAGGGGGTGACTTGGATGGCATAGCTTAATATTCATTTATCAGTTTCGTCTTCCACAATAATTATTCACAGGGTCCCAAGTAAAAGTCAGTGTGCTTGATGCACAAAATTTTCAGTTAACTCCACCAGCCACTAAGCTGATTAAATTGCCACCTGTAAGCTCCTCCGATTGAAATTATGGAGCTGCTCGACCATAGGCTTTTATTTTCATTAGAAGTTTACCTGGAAACTGCTGGAGGGGTGAGACATTACCAACCCACTGTATTGAGGCAGGGAGCTATCAATTCCCAAAGGAGGCAGGATGTAAGAAATGCATTAGTATAACTGAAATTGTTGAGAGAGAGACGTATGAGAGCCAGCAGCTGCTTCCTGGGAGGTGGTTGGTAGTGGAGGGGCTAAGTTATAAGGCAGTCAAGCTTTCAATGACCTACGGGAAGGTGCAAAGCTAACAGACCCAGGAAGGCTTCCCAGGCAATCCAGGTATCTCATGGGCATTTTCGACATTAGAAATACATCTTCCACCATCAAGTCGTTTCTTCCACCTTGTTGAGCTGAGCAAGAGGAAATAACAAATGGAAAACTTAAAAACATTCCTGTCTCTTCCTTCTCTCGGGGGGAGGATGGAGGAAGGGCACAAACTCCTTGTTTTATAAATCTTTTCACATAGCAGCCATGTCTTCTCTAGTCAGAGGAACAGACAGAACTTCTTCCTTCTTTTCCAACTTGGGTCATGTTGAAACAGATTGAAATTACTGTCATTTTAGCAAAGGTGCAGTGCTGATACCATCTGAGAGATATGGGAAGGTGAGTTAAGAACGCTCAACAAAAGTACTGCCAGTAGCTCTTTGGTGTAGGTGGTTCTGGCTGTTACCCAGTGACACTCCCAGCATCCCCCGCCCTGGGCCCAGGAGGTATCCCAGGGGTGCCCTTGCCTGGGTAGGTGTGTCCTACTTTGAGGAACCCCCTGTATCACAGTCCAGGCTTGGCTGGAAACAAATTTATGAGATACACCTTGTGACCTTCATATCAAGTTTGTCCTTTTAATTTTTTCAGATATTTTAGTTTATAAAAGCCTTCTCTTTGGGTTAAAACTCCTTCGTTAAACTTATATCCTCTCTCCCAGTGTGGATTGAAAGTGTGATTGAATTGGATAGAAATGTCAGTTGTCTCACAATTTTTTAATGTGTCCAGATTATGAACTTGGTCTGAAAAGGCTTTGTTGTGAATACTCTGTACTTCCTTGCCAGAGCCTCACAGAACCCCCGGATCATACACTATTCTAAAACTAAAAGTCCCCAAAATCTATTTAAAGGAACGACTTTGTTCAGTGATGCTGTTTCTATGTCAATAATAATATTACTCAACAACAATAATAACATTCTACTTCAATATAATAACAACAACAACACAAGCTTCAGATACCCATTAAAGGACATCTTTTCTGGTCCAGCAGAGCATTTCTTTGTCCATCTGCCTGTTCTGGCATTTCTGTGTGGTAGCTCTGGATTTACTGATGTTAAAGTGTGTTCTGGGTTTCTTCTCCTAGATTGGTCGCTTGGTTATTGGACAGAATGGTATCCTCTCCACCCCTGCTGTGTCCTGCATCATTAGAAAGATCAAAGCCATTGGTGGGATCATTCTGACAGCCAGCCACAACCCAGGAGGGCCCAATGGAGATTTTGGAATCAAATTCAATATTTCCAATGGCGGTGAGTTTGCTGTCATTGTGAGGACAGCCAGTTTTATGTTCCGTGGGACAAACCGGTAACTGAGGCCTTGGGAGGAGAGGGTTCTCCCTCTGATCCTTAGCAAGGGAGCTCTTTGTTTCCTTTTAGTGAAACGAGATGCTTCTCATTCTGTTGATCCTGAATTTGAGAAACCATGCATGAATGATCATTGGCATATTTTCTTTTATAAAACTTTCCTGAAACTTTGCTGCCTAAGTGAGGGCACGGCAAGATGTGCTAGTGAAGAGAAATTGTTGAGCTTTGTGTTCTTTCTCTTTCCACGTCAGCCGCGCAACATGACCCACTGTTTGCTGTTTGATTTCCAGGTCCTGCCCCAGAAGCAATAACTGATAAGATTTTCCAAATCAGCAAGACCATCGAAGAATATGCAATTTGCCCTGACCTGAAAGTAGACCTAGGGGTTCTGGGAAAGCAGCAGTTTGACCTGGAAAACAAGTTCAAACCTTTCACAGGCACGTTTACTCCCCTCTTCTCCTACCTACTCCTCATTCCGACTTAAGGGGTTTTCCTTTCAAGGTTTTAATAACGTGGGTCTTTATCTTTGGAAAGGTTGTGGTCACCAAGCTTTGCATGCATTAATTAGCAAGTCTGGAATTGGGTCTGGGAGCCTAGAGACCTGGGCAGTCAGGGCCCTGCGAGGGGTCAGCTGTGTGACCTTGGGTAGGTCATTTCCAAACCTCTCAGCCTCAGTTTCTATACCTCCCAAGGGAACGGCCTTGACGAGAAGACCTATAAGATTATGTTCACAGCTGTCTTTTACGGAGCTTTTATTATCTGCCAAGCTCTCAACATGCATTATCTCATTTAATTCCTACAGTAGCCCTGTGAGGGCAGCACTGTTAGTATTCACTTTTTTCATATGAGGGAACAAAGGCTGAGAGAGTTTCAGTAACACACTCAAGGTCACATAGTCGGTGAGTGGTGACCTAGGAGTCAAACTCAGGTGTGAATGATTCTAAAGCCTGAGCTTTGATTTTGTTTTCAGGAAAATCAATTTAGACCATTTTGGGGGCTAAACTGAAACTCCCTCTGTAGCGGCTGTGATAAACATTTTGTTGTTGAATGCCAAAGTATGACAATAATTGGTAGAATAAATGTTTATAAATTACTCATATTAATAAAACAAGGATGAATTGGTTAGCAATGTGACTTGCATTTGGACTCTGCTCTAACATGTATTCTTTCCTCTGGACTGCAAGTTTATGGGATGCATTTTTTGTTTGAACCTACCCACCAGGAGCAGACAGTTGCGTCCCAACAAAGAGAAAAGGGTGCTTTGGTACATCTTAAAGACATTCTTAGGGCTCAGAAAACACCAGGAGAGAATTTCTTAAACTCTTCATGTTTTGAAAATGTTCAGACCCCTGAAAATTCAACAAGAACAATTTTTATATTTCTTTTATTCCTTTAGCAGCACATATGAAAGTGATTCATTAAAAAATTTTTCTCTGCTTTTTTACTGTTAAGTCTTGATGGCAGTGGGCCTGGAAAAAGGAAAAGAAAAGTATGTGTTACATTTTCTGTTATTTTTGACACCAGTATGCACTTCTCATGGAGACAGACAGGGTATCGATGTGGCAGCACCATAGCGTTTACCAGCAGGCAAACCTCTGTCAGAATCCCCCCTGTGCCCCATCCCAGCTATGCAGGCAGGTGACTTTATCTTTCAGAACTTGAACTTGCTCATCTATAAAACAGGACAGATAACATTTACCTCTCAGAAGATTTGTTAGTATTGAATAAGAGGTCATGTAATAGCCCTGGCAGATGGGAGCTGCTCCATAAATGTCCTTTAAAAATAGCCGTTGCATGTTCACAGCAATGTAGTCATTTCAAGGGGTAATATTTCTAAATGTGTTTAGTTCCTCCGTCTTTTCATGTTGCTTGTTCTCACAGTGGAAATCGTGGATTCGGTGGAAGCTTATGCTACGATGCTGAGAAACATCTTTGATTTCAATGCACTGAAAGACTACTTTCTGGTCCAAACCGACTAAAGATCCGAATAGACGCCATGCATGGAGGTAGGGGGCTGCTTCTCTTCATTCCCTTCTGTCAAAGATGTGAAGCAGCGCTCGACTTTGTGTACATTGATGCTTTAACCAGCCTTTTCGTAGGACTCTCTCTGACGGTTTTTAAACAGTTACTTTGCAACCATCTCAGAGTAATATTCACGCAGATAAAAATCTAATTGCATGCAGCAAAAATTCCTCACAGTAAGGTAGTGTGAAGGTCAGTGTTTCCACATTAAGCCTCAGGGTTTGAGTAACATGCAGCTATTTTTGTGGCCTCTCCCTCCCCCTCAGAAGATGCCTGACATTCCTCCTAAATGCCCCCATCTATTTCCGAGGGGGCCCGTTGTTTGCTCTGTGTGATAACCACGCTCCTGAGTCGGGCACCCCCACTCACCTGCCCCCCACACGTGCCTTTTCTTAGAAGATGACCAGAGCAAGCTGAGGATTAAATCAGGAGCAAGAGGATGTATGTCTCTCCCTCTTCTTCCTCTGTGGGTTGTGTGGCCAGGTCAGTGGGGACGGCAGCTGTCACTGTGAACCAGAACCCTGAGTTCTCTTCCATGTAGGAATATGGGGATTCCTGAGCACTTAGGTTGTCTGTTTGTAATAATTTAGAATTTTAGAATCTTTGAGTGGCAGGAATTTTCCCTGGTGTTGGAATCCATCTGCCTGCCTGGTTGGGGAAGACCCTTTCAATGATACGGTCCAGGGCCTCCTGTTACACTGCAAAAGCACAGTGAATTAGGAAGCTTCTCCTGATGGGCCGAAATCTTCCATCTCTGGAACTTCTCCCCTTGGGGCCTAACTTGCTGCTGGAGTCCCACAGAACAGGTCTCCTGCTCTGTTCAGACAAATGCTATTCTGACTTATCAAAGCTTTTCACAGACATGTATTGAGTAGCTGCTACATGTATGCTTGGGGCGGGGAGGCAGGGACTCAGTTGGGACCTCCTTCAAAGAGCTTGCGATGCTTGGGGAGAAGAGGTGGGTAGGAAACCAACCACTGCCAGGCCAGCAAGACCAGGGTTAGATAGAATGTCAGGTCTTCTCCTTGAATACTCCTTGGGGTGTGGAGGAAGGCATCGTTTGACGAAATGTATCAAGAGAGGTTTCCTGGAGGAGGTGGCAACCACTCAGCTTTTATGAAGAAAGATCTAGGGCGGTGGAAAGTTGAGTGATGGTCATTCCCAGCTGAGGCAATGGCTATAGGAAGTGCAAGAAAGCTCAAAAATAGATGTCACATTAGGGGAATGAGCAGAGCCTGGGCCAGGAGAAGCTGGTCACAAAGCTGACTTCTTTCTCCAGGCATTTCAGTTGTTCCTTGAGTGCCTCAGTTTCTGTCCCCCTCACAGCCCTGGCGGCCTTGACCTCATTATGTGTGTGTGTCAGGAGCCTCCTTAACATGAGGCCCTAATGGGAGACACGGATTCTATACCATTCTGACCTCTGTGGCTTATATTGGTGTCAAACCTTCCTTGGTGAAAACACATTCTCAGCATTTTAGAGATGAGCATCCTTGGTCGTTACACTGGCTGCCACCATTAAAGTATGCGACTGGTTTTTCCTGTTGTCCACTGTTACTGTTATTTGGTTGTATTCTTTTAATTGGTTTGTCAAGTAGCTTTACAGAGGAGAAAGCTTAGGGCTCTGAATCCTAGCTCCCACTCTTCCTGTCTGTGTACTTTTGAGCAAACAGCTTCATCTGAGAACCTCAGTTTTCTTATCTGTAAATTGGAGGTGATCATCATCATGCAGACGTTTGTAACATATGTGCTTCCTCTCTGTTAACTCACTCAATTCTCAGATCAACTCTTTTAGGTGGCTACTATTACTGTCCTCATTTTGCAGACGGGGTAGACAGAGGCACAGAGAGATTAAACAGCTTTCTTAAAGTGGCACAGCCAGTGATTGGCAGAGCGGAGATTTGAACCCAGACACTGATTCCAGAGTCCAGGGTCTTAAGCACTAAGCTGGAGTGCCTCATGAGCCTTTTTGAAGGACTGGACGAGAAAACAGTTGAGCAGCAGCTTGCATGGGTGTGTGTGGGGGTCTTCGTAATGGTTCACCCCCTGCCCTACCCCCAGTCTTTCCTTCATCTCCTGGCCCCACCCTTTCCAACCTAATCTCTCATTACTCCTTTGTGTAGAACTGTCTACTCTAGTCAGATTTCTCTGTTCACCAGCCCCTGCATACAGTTTGCATGTTCTCTTTGCTGTTCATGCCATTCTCCCGAGAACGCTTCCACCTTGTCCCCCAGTCCTCACACACTGTCAGATGTTTTGTTTTCTGGTTCTTCATTTCATGCCCTGCACAGTGGTGGGACCGTATGTGAAGAAGATCCTCTGTGAAGAGCTCGGTGCCCCTGCAAACTCGGCAGTTAACTGCGTTCCCCTGGAGGACTTCGGAGGCCACCACCCTGACCCAAACCTCACTTATGCAGCTGACCTCGTGGAGACCATGAAGACAGGAGAGCATGATTTTGGGGCTGCCTTTGACGGAGATGGGGTAGGTACAAGTGCATTTAAGTGGACCCTGATGCAGGTCAGGCCTGACCCTACAGATGGGGAAAAAGCAGGCCCTGTGGGCCGAGGAGTGCCAGTCGAGCTCCCTCATTACACCTGGAGTCAGGGCTCAATTACTGGAAGACGTTCTTGAACAGAATAAGAGTCCTTGAAATGTAACCCATGTGTTTAATGTTTGCTAAGAGGGGCAGGGTGATCGGGGTCTGGTTATGATGGCATGACTGGTGCTTCATAGGCTGGTTGGGTTCTCGGTACCCGTCCTAAGGTGGGTTTTTGCTCTCAGCCAGCAGTTGGCTACTTATTCAATCTCTGGGAAGGGTTCTGGCCTTATAATAGACCCATCTGTTCATTCACATTAGCAGAAAGATGAAACTATAATGAAAGAATTAACAGTTTATTCCTTTGCTACAATTAATGTTTTAAATAAACATGTTCTTTCATTTGTGTTGGTGAGTATATAACAGGCAAGGAGGGGATGTGTCTTGGGTTTGGTATCTCAGAGATAGTAAATGCTACACATGTTAACATCATTGAAAATATATTTGGGGGGTTGCTGTTGTTCTTTAACATCAGTTGGAATTCACTATTTCCAGAAAACAGTTTTTCCCATATCAGGATTTGGGGAAATTTGGAGTCCCCAGCAGGCATTGTTTGAGTGCATCTTTCTGTTGCAGTGCATGACGGGTGTTTTCCCTCCGTACTCTGTTACCTGAGTACCTCCTGTATGTCAGGCACCAAGGAAGCAACGAAGGTGACCCCATGCTTTGTTGGGTCCTGCACCAAATGGAGGGGCCCAGATTTAGAAGCCTTTCCTCTAGGAAATCCGCTTTGTTCCTCAAAGGATGCCTTGTAGACCTACCCGACTCTAAACAGCCCACATTTTTTCTCATTGTGATCTCTTGTCTCTTCTGGGAGAGAAGAGAGGTGACTGGTTCCAGAGTTTGGAAAAAGTCCAGGCGGTTAAACTCCGCTGGCCTCTGGAGGGAGAACAAAGAATTCGACCCAGAAGAGTTGGTGCTTGCACTTTAACTGAAAACAGTTTTAGCTCTTTGGCGTGGAGGTGCCATCGGCCCAGTGCTACTGCACAGATCCATTAGGAACAACATCCAGGGTTTAGAACCCAGTCTGAATAAATGTATCCTTTTTAAATTGTATAAAACCTCCATGTAAGGGAGTTTGGTTTCTTCAGCACTTTGATTAAAAATCTTCCTTTGAATCCTCCTTCTCCCAAAGGATCGAAACATGATTCTGGGCAAGCATGGGTTCTTCGTGAACCCTTCCGACTCCGTGGCCGTCATTGCTGCCAACATCTTCAGCATTCCATACTTCCAGCAAACCGGGGTCCGCGGCTTTGCACGCAGCATGCCCACCAGCGGTGCCCTGGACCGGTAGGTCTCTCCACTCCCCTGGTTCTCACCAGGCCCATCAGAGTGCTGGGAACAGCCTTCCCCCTCTTCCAGCAAGGGTGTCTGATGCATAGTCTGTGCTACGTAAATGTTTATTTTATAAAAGAATGAGTGAAGTTTTTTTCTAGATTAGATGTCCCCCTTCTGTGTTCCCTTAGCACCCTGCATGTCTTCCATCCCAGAACTTACCACACTGTGTTCTGATAGCCTGTTTGCTTGACTGTCTGCCTTGCTAGACTCAAAACTTCTACAGAGAAAAGACTGTCTTATTTACCATCCTAAACGCTGCCTGACCACAGTGTGCCTAGCATATAATAGGACACACACACATCATTTTGAAAAATGAATGATGCAATGTTAATGAATAAATGAGTGGATGGCATTTTTGTTGTAGTCAAGACATCATTCTAGAGACTCCCTTTTCTTCAGCAACGTGCCCAGCATTTGGGTGAAAGAGCAGTCTGATGTAAGGTCAGTGTTTAAACAGAACTTTCAAAAAACACTCATTATTCAACCCCCATCAGATGTCCATACAGACACAAACATAGTAAATGTTCATTTATCTAAAATATGAAATATAGAAATCTAAAATAGTTTTAAAAAAATACATTCAGTTTTTGAGAAAGAAGGGACCCAGGGACAGTAAACAGTTAATATCTCTGAGTTGCTTATCGATTTATTTATTGAATATTATCTCATTTGCAAAAGCTTTAGGATAGCCTAACAGATCACATAAAAACAATGAAAAAATATGTCACAAATGAGGACAAACCAGGGAGAATATTAACTAGATCATGTTAGGTGTCCAATAAAGGTTTCCTGGATGAAAGGATAAAGAACAAGTGAATGAATAAAAACAGGCGAATGTATATATTCAGGCTGTTTTAATAATAACTAGTATTTATTGAATGACCTTATGCTAGTACTTGATATGTTATAAGTCACTTAATTCTCAGGCCAACTCCAGGAAGTAAATGCTGTATATAACCCCGCATTACAGGGTGGGAAAACAAAAGGACAAAGACATTAACTGATTTGCCCAGGGTCACTCAGCTAAGTAAATGGCAAGCAGAATTTGAGCCCAGAACCTTTGTTCCCAACCACTGGACCATGCATTGGTTTCCTGTTTTGGGTGTGTGTGTGTGTATGTGTGAGTGTGTGTTTTACAGAACTAATGCTGACTTTACTTCAGCTGGCAAGAGAGTAATGGCTAATATTCACATAGTAGTTTGTAGTTGGCACAGTGCTTTTTCACATTCACCATCTCAACTGATCTTCATATAAGTCCTTATTTTAAAGAAGAGAAAACCGAAAGAGTGGCTGGCAGTTCCATCCAGGACACCACAGCTAGAATTAGAATTAGAATCTAGAATTAGAACCTGGGACTTCTGCCTCCACACCTTCCATCTGAAGTGGTGAGCTGGTTTGTGGCTGCACCATTGTACGTTAGATCTATCAGGTCCTGAACTACCTTCTGTGTAACTCAAGGATAGTTTAACTCCCAATTTTTGCAAAAATGGATAATCCACATAAAGAATCACAATGGAAAGTCCCTCATTACCCAGAAAAAAATTTGTTGTATTTTCAGTTTTTAAAATCAGATTTAATTTTCCTTAAATATTAGAATTGAAACATGATATCGTTTTGCTAGCAATAAGACCAACATCTTAGAAAGCACATCTCACTGAAAGAGTGAATGACATGTAGGTAACTCTTCTTGTTCAAAGGGAAGAGGATCTTAAAAAAAGTCCCTTAAAGGTTTCAAATAGTGTAAAGACAAACAGGGAGAAGTGAAAGATGTGTTGGAGGGGACAGGTACCATGGATCCATGTGGATATAGCTGGTGCAAATGAGAGACCCCACTCGGCTCTGTCCTGGCAGGGCCTTCTGGGGAAATGAAAGGAGCATTGGCTGGGCGGCTGAACAGCAGGCAATGGGTCTTCCTGGCCGTGCGACCTTGGACTGCTCACATAACATTCTGGATCCTGTTTCCTTCTCTGTAAACTACTGACCTCCTAGACCCCGTATTCTATGACTCACATCAGAACATCACTCTTTTGTCCGTTATGGAATGGAGATAGATGCTGTCTGTATCCAAAACACTCGGGTTTAAGTAGCCCCCAAACAGCCTTGCACATTTTGCCACTGTTGCTTCTTCTAAAATATTAAACTCTGTGACCTGAATTAATTCTTTCTTCATCCTCTTCTCCTCGTTCCTCTGACTCCACACAGAATAGCCCATTGTGCACAAGTTTTCTTGTATGATTTTCCACCCATCTGAGAATTATGTGTATCTCTGAGCGATGCTAAATGGGACCCTTGATTACAATAACGGTTGCTATTTTCAATGCATCACATGGCTACGCTCGCAGTCCTGCTGTGATGTAACTTTGATTTCATGCCTTTGAAGGGTGGCTAATGCCACAAAGATCGCTTTGTATGAGACCCCAACTGGCTGGAAGTTTTTTGGGAATTTGATGGATGCAAGCAAGCTGTCCCTTTGTGGGGAGGAGAGCTTCGGGACTGGTAAGTGTGCAAGCCTGTGCCGCCATTTGCTCTCCTGTAAACACTGCCTGCAGTGAAAGCTTAGCCTCTAAGGCAGCACTGAAATAGCAACGGTAGCTGATGTGTCCTAAGTCAAGATACAGCTTATTTATAACAACCCTGATGAAGTGTACACATCTGAAAAGCAGCAAGCATGTTCGGCCAGGGAGGGCTAATTTTACTTCCAGAGGATCACATCTCCTGAAACAGGAAGTTTGGGGGCCTCCTCAGCAGCATGCTCACTGAATCTGTGGGGATTAAACAGAGCGATAAACATATTTTTCTTTCCTTGGTGGCCAAGGAAACCTTTATAAATGTTTTCATTTCTAGGAAGAAATACGGTGGAGTGAGTCAATTTTTCGTTTTTACTTAAGAGAAGGTTTCAGCACAGCATTAAATCTTTGTCCTTAATAGGTGCAAGTTTGTTGTAGCAGCCAGTTGTGATTTATTAAGGGTGAGTGGAGGGAGACCATTAGGGTCAAACTAAGTTGCTAGGTGATCAAGAAACTGAAAATACGTCCTTGACCCTGAGGATCTGTATGTAAATTGTGTTATGATGAAAAAGTAGAACGTGGTGTGCTTTGGGGGATGTCCCAAGACCCTTAGACCCCACTTGCCTCCTCTTCTGTTCCTGTTCAGGATTGACCCGAAGTCCCACCTCAGTGACCTTCCCAATGTCCCCATCTTACACCAGTCTCTCTCTTTTCTAAACATTCATTCAGGCGTGTGGCCCTTTCTCACATGTTGTCTCCAGTCAGGTTGCAAGGTACTTCAGTGGCTCTATTTCCTCTCCTCCTGTTGTCTCTACCCAATATTTTGAAGTACAAGGACCAATCTTTCTGATCCTTCAATACTAGTCTTCCATCCTTTAGCAAAGAAGAGATCAAAACCTAGCATTCTATCAGCCTTGCCACTGAGTTGCAATTCACTCTAGGTTAAACAGAACAGAATACTGATTTCACTTCTTTTCCTGCAAGTCCTAGGGTAGGGTGGGTAGAATAAGCTGGTAAATTTGAGACACCTGTTGACAAAAATACCTAAGCAATTTAATATCCTTAAGGGAGTGGCAGTACTTCTTGGTAATAAATTGGCTCGATGGAATTGGAGGGTATTATGAAAGATGGATGAGTTTGGGGGTTTAACAATGTCTACAAAGAAGGCTACATGATTTCTCAAGGTTCTAGGTCTTCAGTCAGAGATAATAAGGCCACTGCTCAGTCCTTTCCTACCTTGTAAATGGATGGTGCATGTTGCCCCACGGGGCACTGGATAAACACCCAATGGACCTGTGAGGTGGTCTTCTCCCATGAAATCCCCCAAGTGTTTTCCAGTGCAGGCTTGGTATCACTCATTCTTCCTTATGGATGAAGCTGTCTTTGAAGGCAGGTACCATGTCTAGACCTTTGGTTTCCTGACCCCATGTACCTATTTCAGTGCTGAGACTAGTGAAAAGGGAAAAGTCTAGAGCAAGGATTCCCAGGGCGTTTGGGTGTGTAGAAGGATACTAGTTACATGAAAGTGTTCTGAGTTCAGTGAAGACTGTCTTATATTCACAATGTGGATATTCACGATGATATTAGCATTTGAAGGTTCCAAACCATTCTGCTATAAGGAATCATGTTTGTACAGTTTTACCTAAATAGAGTTGACTGCAGTATCTCTTTTTGACGGTATATCTAGTAACATTTTGCCCCACAGACCCATGTGGGTAGCCCTGGGCAAGGTGGCTCAGAGTCCTAGAGCCAAATAGCCATCTAGGTGCTGGCTGGCTGGGGACAGGCCTGAAGGCAGGACAGCACAAGCTGCTTCTTCCTCACATGACAGGCCTTTAGACACCAGAGGACAGATCTCAGGTCCTCTCTCCTACAGGCCACCCATCCCTAGTCCTGTAGTCATTCCTCACCACATCGTTCATACACCCAGCACCAGGTTCTAGATGCGCCCCATGCACCAATGCCCTCTTAGAAGATCTTGTCCAGAACTGAGCCCAAATCCTTAGGGTTGACCTGACGTGTAGAGAGCGGAGTGGAACGACTATTTCTAGAGCGCTGGACCCTGTACTTGTCTTGCTATAACTTGCGTTTATGATAGCCTTTAGGACATTTCAAATACTGTTTAGCCCATGTAATGTTGTAGATAGTTAAATCCCTTTAAATTTTTGCTCAGGAGCATTTGCCAAGAAAAGTCCTCATATTACATTTGTGGAATTGATTTCTTTGAACCCAAGTATTAGACCTTAAATTATTCCTGTTAAAGTTTGTTCTTGCTTATATATTTATTAACTCTTTCAACAAATACTATGTGCCAACCATGGCTTTATCTTCCCTTTGATATCTTTCATATCCAAAGAGAGAATTCAGTATGAAATCTCTCTCTTTGAAAAAAAAACAAACAATTGTTCTATAATATTTCTGGAGATAAACATTTAAAAAAACAGGCTGCACAGCCATGGGTATCCACTGCTGTGAGTGAGTGCCACTGAATTTATTTAACTGAATTTCTGATCTCCTTAATATAGAGGAGTTAATTTCTACCTATTATGTCCCTTCTTGGCAAATGCTTCCAACAGTTCCTTTACAGAATGTCTCAGGGCAGACATTAGTGATTCTACAGGCTCTGAGATACTTGAATTCTAGAGCTTAATTGAATATTGGGTTATTTATTTATGTATTTTTCCAAGTTGGAGCAGAGGCAGTTTCTCAGGAGAGCCTCCCTAACCTGCCTGGGTGGATCAGAGCCCCTTATTTTTGGCCTTCATGGCACTGCCCACTTCTTCCTTGCACGTATTACAGCTGTAATTTTACAATTATTTATGATTACTTGATTTATGTCTGTTCATAATACTAGACTTTAAGCTCCATGAGGACAGGAGTCACATCTCTCTTGTTCATCATACCCCCAGAGCCTCCGATATATCCCAGAATAGATTAGGTGTTTAGCAGACGCTTGTTGAATGAATGAGAGAACATGCTTTTCACTTGGCACCCTCAATTCAGACAGACAGAATCCTGGTGTAGGAAAGGAAAGGGCTTCAACAGTTATCTGACATAATTTCCTGCGTGTTGCAGGAATCATAAGGGACCAGTCAGTGCTCTTCTGCTTAGACACGACCTTGATGGAGAATGCCCACCTCACCTCGGGAAGCAGTCGGGGACCCTTGTGGGGACTCAGCACCACTCCCGCTCCATAGTCCAGAGTTGAGGCCTCCAGGTCTTTGTGAGATGACTTTTTATAAAAGAAAGGGAGCAGTTTGCTTGCAGAGGTACAGAGGAGTCAGACGTCGGAAGAACTGGCTCATCAAATAAAACAAACCACTGACATTTAAAAGCACAACCGTAATATTACCCTTACTAAGTGTACATCAGTCTGTTCATGGTGGAGAAACAGCAGCTGTCTCACATGATTACTGTAACCACCAAGGCTACAATGCTTCCTCAGACATCAGCATTACAAGCACCAGGGATAAAGGTGTTTTGTTAGGGCCCCAGAGCCAGACAGGGGGAACCTGTTGTTTTTCGTTGATCTCATGGTGCAGTTATTTTTCCGCCTAACTGTGGATGATGATGTGTGTGCCTATACATGATTGGGGAGGGAAAAGCTCTCAGTTCTGTCCCACCTTGAACTTGTTGGGAAATTGGGAAAGAAATAGGAAGTGAAGTTACTGAACAGAATATAATGTCACAGCTTTTGAAACTCCTCGGGAAAAAGAGGGGCTTGGGAAAGAGGAATAGGAAACTAGGTTGAGGATTAACTTGGTATCATATGGAAATATATCAGTAAATTCTGGTGTGGCCAGGTCCAGAGATTAACAATACATTTTTTTCCTCATCCCATCTCTAAAAGGCTCCAGTGATGGTGCCTCATACAGGAGTGATACCTTGAAGAAGTGTAGCATTCATGCTTTGCAGTTTTCTTTTAAGTTGTTATGAAAAGGCCTTCATGTTTGTACTTCATTTCTCATCAACTCATTCCTCAAATGTTTATTGAGCTTTGACTGTATCCTAGATACTGGGCTAGGCTCTGGGGACACAGTGGTAAGCACGACCCTCTTGTGGAGGGCTCTGTGGAGGCTGTCCCTGGGGAAGAAAGTCAGACCCTGGCCAGGTAATTACAAGTGTACAAAGTGACAGAAGAAGTAGAGGATGCTCTGGGAGCTGTGTATTCAGCATGCCTAGCCTGGTTCTGTGGTATAGGGGATTAGATTGTCCATCTAGTTCTCTGTTCTAGTTAATATACCTCTTGAGTACTTTTTCCTGTAGGTAAACCTCCCCCACCCCTGCAAAGGTAGCATCCTATCTCCAGAGATTTCCCAGACGGAATATCCCAACAGAACTGAGACCCTAATTATAACAAATTATAACAAATTATACCTGCACGTCTGTCTCCCTCACCTGTGTGTCTGTGCTCATCTGTGAGGTCAGAGAATACATCTTATTCATCTTAGTATTTTCTCATATACTTGGAACCTGCTAGGCACTGATTCAACTTTGTTGAGTATAAAATGGAGTTTGGGTTAAGACACATTTCCTGCCTATCAGGTGCTTACCACTTTCCCCTAAAGCGAACAAAGTTCCAGGGGCAGTCATGAGGCCGTGCAGGATTAATTGCTAAATGGAAAGTCCTGGGGTTGCTGAGGGAGAGCCCCCTTGAGGACTGGAGTGGTCTGGAAAAGATTTTTCTAAGGAGCTTACTGGCCCTTTCAGAGGGAAGTCTTGTGCAGTGGAAGCAAAGAGGACTGCACTGTGGACAGAGCTGGTCTACTGAACCTCCCAGCCAGTCATCTGGGGTCTGACCATTTTTTGGCAAACCTTTATTGAGAGCTGACTGCATGCCAGGAATAGCTGGGGATACAACTCATAGTGTAGGATGGGTAACGGGCGAGGTGCAACAGACTACGGGTGAGCACAGAGGGCAACAAGGAAGGCATCCCAGATAAGGAGGAAGGTAAAAGTAACTGCAGGAGCTGTTAGCCAGGCTGATCGGTATTTGTGGAGTGGAAATTTCCAGGCAGAGAGAACAGCATGTTTAGGAGATTGAAGGAGAGATAGAGATGGTCAGAGAAAGAGAGAGACAGAGAGACAGATGCTCGGTTTTCACAGAACTCTGCGAAGCTCTTTTTCAGCTGCCGCATCCCATGCACAGGCCTTGCCTGGCAGGGGCAGGAGCCCGGGCACCCCCGAGATGCCCACACTGGTAAATGGAACCTAATCCCTAAACTGTTGGCTCTTGGCTTCCTCATTAGGGGTTGACATTTTTCTTGGCTGAGAACCAGAGTGTGCCCTGACTGAGCAGAGTTTATACATATCACAAGGTGCTGATTAGGCCAAAGTAAAGTGACAGGTGTTTGAAGATGCTGAAAGGGCAGGATCCCCATGCACTCGGTCCGTGAGCTGGAGCAAGTATGAAGAGACCTGCGTGTCAGCCAGGATGAGTGGTGCTTGCTGATAGTGTTTCCCTTTTCCTGCAGTTACATGGGCCTGGCTGCTTCTTTTTTTAAATTAAAAAATGGTACCAGTAATTCACATTCTTAATAGAAAAATTAGATAAGAAAGAAGAAAACAGCACAGTAATCCCACTGCCCAGAAAAAAAAAGAGCATATTGGGTTATATTCCATTTTCTTCCCTAATATGTATAGTTAAGCGGTGTTATTTTTGAAAGCTTAAAGAGGTAGTGGAAAGCACTAATTTTCCCTAAAAGTTTTTTTATTTTCCCTTATAATGGTATCTTTCATTTATATGGTACTCAACAGTTTATAAAATATTTCCACTCTCTATCATAGTAGAGTCCTAAAATTGTGTGCATTATCCCCATTATAGAGCTGAAGAAACTGAAGCTTAGAAAAGTTAAGTGACTTGTCCAAATTCAAACAGCTTATAAGTTTCAGATTCAAGTTTCTGACTCTTAAGTATAAAGCGTTTCCATTGAACCATAGTTGCCACAACTGCAGAAATAAGAGCAGGTTAAGAAATACATTCACATATCATTGCCTTTTTTTCATTAGTAACTCGTCTTCATTCATCAGAACCATAAAGAAAATGAAATTTACCCAGATTTTCTGAGTATTGTCAGAGTTACGTAGAGTTTCGATACATTTAAGGTGATTAGTGAGATTAATCAGAATTTTCAGAGGCTAGGGATCGTGTAAATGGAATAGAATATTTACATTATTCAAGGCTGATGCTTGGTTTATAATATGAGGTGTGTGACTTAGTTATCTCCAAGTAACTTGGTCAGAGTTGGGTAAAATTTTTAGATTTTATTTTCATTTCTACATAACAAAGGAACACTTCCCCCTATATTTTTGGTCTGGCACCCCACCCCTTGCAAAAAAAGGAAAAGAAAAAGGGAGGAAGGATGGGGAAAAAAAACCCAGGGGCTCACAGAAAATAATTCCAAGCTGTATACTTTGGTCATGAATTCTCAATATATTGGGGAAGCTGCCAGAATCTTACTGATCAGAGTGAACTGTTGCCAAAACATATCATTTGCAAAAGCTGTAGGAGCCAGAGGGCTAACTTTCTGTTCCTTGAAATAGCAGTAAAGGCAAATAAAAGTCCATAGCTAATAAAATTAGGCAAACATTTCTAAAATCTGTTATATAAAGTGCTAAAAGTATTGCCTAATATCTCTAGTTCTGCCAGCATCCAGGTTTTGAGAATTGCTGCTTCTAAAAGTGATGTCTTACTGAGACTCTTCTGGGGGACAAAAAGTTGTGTATTTTTATGAGCCAAAAAGAGAAAAAGATGTTGGAGTAGATTAATTAATTTATTAATTCATTCCTGCACTCCTTCACAATTAGTTATTTAATATATTCCATGTGCTATGCCAGTCACCAGACTTAGTTACAAGGGTAAATAAGAGATGCCTCCAAGAAATACATGGTTAGTGGGGCTAAAGGCTCATAAATGGATGATTGAGGCACAAGGAGCATGGTGCTGCACGAGACGTTTTGAGCAGGTCACTGTCAGAGGAGGGAGAGTAGCTCATAACTGTCTAGGGAAGCGGGGAGCTAGTCTCAGCTAGGGGAGGACATTTGAGCTGGGTCTAAAAGGATGAAGAAGGGAAGGATACAAACTTACCTCATGCCTCCTAGCCAGCACTGTGCTAGATACTCTGACAGTTCTAAGGAGAATAAGACCCAGTGGGAAGTCAAGAAGGACAGATGGGCACATCACGAATTCAAGGCATGAAAATGCACAAAGCATTATAGAGGGACTGCGTCAGGTCCTGTTCAGAATTCGGAAAGTAGAGGTCAATATCATCTACTTTTTTTTTAGAATAACGGGGTTAAAAGCAGAAGATGAGAGTTCTGTGCGACATCAGGCTCTTAGAAGAGGGTCTCCATGCATATAATAAGCACATCCAAAGGAGCCAATTTGTTATTTTTGATAAAGATTTTACCAAGGACCTTAGCAGGAGACAGAAGTGCCATAGTCTATTTAACCAAACCCCTTTTGATTAAAGAATGATGTCCTAAAATTGGAGTTCCTGGATCCACAAGTAGGTCCATTTTTAAGGCTTTCATACTTTTTGCCAAGTTGCTCTCTGGAAGGACAGCACGTCACCCGGCAGCAGTCTGTTGGAATCCCATTTCCCTTTTACCTCCCCTGATCTAGGTGTTCTCATTTTAAATCTGTGGCCATTTGTCAAACAAGTAGCAGTGTCTTTATTGTGGTTTTAACGTTAGTTTCTCTTCTTAAATATAATCCCAGCTTTCTATTAATGTTAATTGGGCACCTGTATTTATTCTTTGGTGAATTTCCTATTTATATCCTTGGTCTGTTTTTCTATTTTTTGCTTTTTTTTTCTTATTAATATATAAGAGCTTTTTCTATATTGAGCGTAATAAATTATCTCCTTTATATTGCAAATGTTTTTTTAGTTTGCCAATGCCTTTTAATTTTATCTATAGTAGTTTTGCTGATAGAAATGCTAGTTTTTAAGTAGACAAATACATAGTTTTTTTCTTTTTGAATTCTGAATTTACATGTATTTAAAAAAATACCAGATTTTTAAAAAAATTATATATCTCTTCTAGTATTTAAAGGTTTTCAATTTTTACATTTGAATGGATAATCCATATGGAATTCTTTTTGGTATGGTGTTTTATAGGGAAGAAAACTGATTTTTTTCTAACTGTTAAGCTAGTTATCCAAATACTATTTAAAAAGTAACCCATTCTTTTCCTACAGCCCTAAAGTGACACCTCTATCACTTTTTCAAGTCTCATATGTGTTTGGATTTCTTTGTGGGTGCTCTCTTTTGTTCCATTCAGCTACCAGAAGATTTTAATTTTTAAAAATTTACAATGGTCATGTTCTGTTTTTTATTAATTTGAGATTTGTTTTTTCCACTCACATTCATGTTTTATAATTGATATACCAAGTTCTACCAAATTATTTAACTGACATTTTTATTGGCATTTGCCTTAAAATTCTAAATTTCTTTGGGAAGCAACAGCTTCTTTTCAGTAGTATGTTGCTTTATTTAGCACGTGGTTCCTTCCATGTATTCAAGTTCCTCAGTAAAGTTTTAGGACTTTTTTGTTTGGATCATGTTTACTGTTGAGTTTAGCCCCAAGTATTCTGGAGAAATCCTGGTTCTCACAATTGCTTGCTGTCCCCCCACCAGGTTCTGACCATATCCGTGAGAAAGACGGACTCTGGGCTGTCCTGGCTTGGCTATCCATCCTAGCCACCCGCAAACAGAGTGTGGAGGACATTCTCAAAGATCACTGGCAAAAGTATGGCCGGAATTTCTTCACCAGGTAAGCTACAGCCTGGCTGGATGCAGAGGTAGCATGGGGAAGTGGGCAGAGAGAATTCTCATGCATACAAATTCTTTCCTGTCTTAAGTGATAATAAAACCCCAGCTCATTCAACCTTTACCAATTAGGGATTTTTTAAATAATTCAGTCAGGGTCAAGATGAAGGCAGCTATTATGTTAGCCATAAAGAACAAGGCTTAAAAATTTTAGTTAACGTATTCAAAAGAATAAATGTTTTGTCTGCCTTTTAATGTAGCTATCCGGTGGACATGATAATAGCATTGGATTTGGATTCAGAAGAAGGGATTATCATTTTATTTCTGCTCCCTTGTAGACTGGGAAGTCATTTAACTTCTCCTTGTACTCAGTTTTCTCATTTGTAAAAGTGGAAATAACAGTCCGGCTATTGAGTGGATTAAATGAAATATGAGTCTGAAAGTGTTTTATAAACTCTGGGACACTGAAAGTATGGAAACTTTTCATGAAATTATGGAAACAATTATGCTTAGTCTAAATCAACTTTTCTGACTCATTAAAATAGGTCCCCAAAGGCTGTGTAGTTGTCAGTACTTCATTCATTGATTCAGTAAGTGTCGACTGTGTGCCTGCTTTCTGCCAGGCACTGGGGATTCGGCAGTGGACAGAATACCTAGAATAGTTAGTAACCCGTCTTTACCATGCGCACTTCTATTTTTAAGAAGCATTAACATTTCTCTCTAGTTGTGCTTTTCACCAATTCCAATTTGCTTTCCCCCTTGTAAGTGTTAAAAAAAAAACTATCAATTTTTTTCCCTTGGACCTCACTATTCTAATCATGGAAAAGAAATATGAGAAGAGGGATAGTAGATAAACTACTTATCTGGAAGAAATGTAAAGATACAATTTCACTGGACCTCAGTTGCTTTTTCTATAAAATAGGTGAGTTAGACTAGAGAATTTTAAAAACATCACAGATCTAGTGGTCTGTGATCTCTGGATAGTCAAGGAAGAATTCAACCTTAAGCAATTTGGCCTCCGTAATCAGAAATCCTTCCATCAACTTTGGACAACTTCGTTGCTGTCTTCCTCCCTCAAGTTGTTCTTTTGTGGAAGGTACAAGTAATATCTGCCACGCGGTACCCACAGTAGCCCTGGGAACCAAGGCAAGAATCTCTACTTTCTAAGAACCAGAAAAACCTAGTAATTCAGAACAGTAGTCAGGAGCTCTCCAGAGCTTAGAGTGTGATGAAGGCAGGACCATGTCTGTTTCTGTGCTCCATGGGATCGCTGGATACCTAATCCATAGTGACATTGTGTAAACAGGCTTTGAATAGATAAATGAATCAGTTAACAAGTGAATAGCAGCCAGGGTGGAGTAAGGTTAGGAAGATTTGTGCAGAGAAAGGGTCACTCTTGAATCAGTTAGAAGTCTCCATCTAAAAACTGTTTTAACATATTTTTTATTAATTTCAAATGACTACTCACCAAATATTACCAATCAAGTCTTAGAACCTGCATTTAGTTAAGACTCCATTACACCCTCCATTTACTTAACAAAAGTGCTTTCTGCACGCATTGTTTCACATCAGCCTCAAAACAGTATTGATAAGACAACTGAAATTCTGAGAGATGAAGCAACTTGCCCAGAGTTGCACAGTTACCCGATAAAGGCTGGATTCATAGCTCGTTCTGTCTCATTCCAAAGCCCAGATTCTTTCCATTATACCCCTCTGTGCCTAGAATTTATAGAACATTTCCCTCCAACACCCAAAGGTCACAGATGTAAAGCACAAACACCTGGTTGTAATTTCTTGCTGTTTATCATTTTAACTGGGGGAAAGAGCTGACTTCAGGATTAAGGGAACTGTTGTCCTTAATTCATAGAATCCTGGAGCCAGAATAGTTGGCCTTAATTCCTTGGTATTTCTCATGTCTCAGAGGTGTCGTCTTGCACATATCATAGTTGTTTCACTATCACAAATAAATATAGGCTCTTCTATCTTGAGCCTCTAAAAAATAACTCTCTCAAGAGGGTGTGTGTGCACCATTAGGTCAAGAAAAGCCACTTGTTAAGAGTCTTTAACCTCATAAGAAAGAAGTCAAGAACGATTCTTGGAGGAAAAAAAAACAGTCGTGGAATTTCCTTTGTGGTACACTTTTCTTTTTCTTGGCCCTGTTGCATCCACACGGGGCCTCCTCTGTCGGGGTGACCCCAGAACGCCATGGGCCAGAATCCACTCTCACTGAGAGGAGGGAGGCATTTCAAGATGTAAAGAGTTACGGCTTGGGTCCTTCGCCTGGTCAGTGAAAACTTGGCCTTACTTAAGGAAGCTCCTGTGGAGACTGGAACTCTCCTTAGCCAAACTCTCAGCAGCCTCAGGCAGGTCCCAGACTGGGAGCCTTCCCAGCATGGATCCCAGAGAAGCTCCAGGAGTTTGGAGGAGAAGTGCCTGAGTCACGTGGGCCTCTGTGCAGCCGTTCTCCAGAGATAACATTGCTTTTGTTTCTAGTCCTCAGGATGTGGTGATTAAATGTTAGACAGTATCTCTCAAAAGCCTCTGAGGCTTCTAAGAGCCTTCATTCTGTAGAAGAGCCAAGGTGGTGGTTTTCTGCTTATTCAGAAGCTCCTAGCGCTTTCCTGAAACCCTCCAAACCCTTCCTTTCATCCCTGGCCTGCTCCATCCCCGGAGAATGACGTCCTTTTGCCAGCTTCTTCTGAAATTGGATGGTTTGGCGGAAGCACCAAACAAATGATAGAGAGAGTGCAGATACACACTGGTGTGATCTGATGTTGGCCTGCGGGCCTCAGCGTGGTGACTTCTTCCAGGTATGATTACGAGGAGGTAGAAGCCGAGGGTGCGAACAAAATGATGAAGGACTTGGAGGCCCTGATCTCTGACCGCTCCTTCGTGGGGAAACAGTTCTCGGCAGCTGACAAAGTCTACACCGTGGAGAAAATTGATAACTTTGAATACAGTGATCCGGTGGACGGAAGCATTTCCAGAAATCAGGTAGGAACAGACATATGTGTATGTGGGAGGGAGGCCTCAGAGCTTCAGCTGTAAAGTCTTAAGAGAAAAAAAGAGAAAGGCCTCTTGGTCATTTCTCCTGTGCTGCCCAGTTTTCTCAAGTGGCTTTCTGCTGAGTCACCCGTGATTTGCACAGATACTCGTAGGCAAAATGATTTTGGCCCTGGTTCTTTGCATGCCCCTTTGCCCTCTTTCTGGGATGCTTCGTCTAGACTCCAGAAGGATTTTTACATTCTGCAGAATTCTCTGCAAGATGTCGTGTTGAATGTGTGTGCAGAAAAGAGCCCTAGAACCTAAAAAAGATGGAGAGCTGCTGTCTTAGATCTCAAACTCCTCCTTTTCTCTTGAGAGGTTGTAACAATGCCAGCAGGAGAGTGGCATCACCACAGATGTTACTGTGATACATGTTCTAATTTCCAAAAAAAGAAGAAAGTAGACAAGCCATCCACAGACTTAGAAACGTTAGGTGTTACTATCTGTAGCACGTGACTTGCAGCCCACCCTCACATCGCAGTGCATAGGAGGACATCGCAGTCGAGACCCGGGCTGTGTCTGGATGGGGACAGAGCTCTTAAAGTTTCCCTCACTGGGCACCAGGCACCCAGGGCTGCAGGCTGGGTCAGCCCTTTGCCAGGGGCCTGGTGACCGATAGCAGATGAGAGGTAGTATCTTTCCTTCTGGTTGGTCATTGGCTTTATGCAAAGTTCTTCTTTTTATGGAAGAATTAACAGACTCATCAAAACTGAAGGATCCTCAGATAACTTGCCTAGCCTTCCTACCTCAAGAGTCCCCAGCCTTCTTCCTTGAATCAAGATTACTAAGGACAAGAGATGTAGCCAGAGAGGGAAGGGAGAAGGCAGAGAGTTAGGGGCTGGGCTTGGCATTACACCCACATGACCCTGCTTTGAGTCACCAGGCATTGGTGGAGACTGACCACTGGATCCTGCCTGGCAGGTGGGAATAGCTGGCCTCTGCCATTTGGAGCACGTGGCCTCCTGTTCTCTCTTTGAGTCTCCATCTCCCCATTTTACAGTATTCTTCCTCTCTTCTGCCTGAAACTTCCTCTGCTCTGGTTTCACCCCATTCTCTCCATGTTTCCCTCCTGATCTGGAAATCAAATTTCTGTATCTAGCAGTTTATTTATATATTAACTTGTTTATTAAGCTTTGAACTGGAATGGCTAAGCCATAAATCACAGGGAGATGGCGTGGAGAGGGCAGGTCTTGTGTCAGCCAGCCTCCCCAGGATCCAGTCTCCCACCCGACCCTGGGAACGCTTCTCCCCTGTAAGCTCAGCCCCCACTGGCTGGATTTGGTGACAGGCTGACCGAGGTCAGACTCACGGGGCTCAGTTGTAGCCCCTGACTGATTGGGTATGGATGAAATTAGATCTCCAAATGGACCCCTCACAATTTGCCAGCCTTCAATCTCCCTTCCAGCATGTAGGGAAAAAAAACCTCTGTTATCTTTCCCAGGGCTTGCGGCTCATTTTTGCAGATGGTTCTCGCATCATCTTTCGACTGAGTGGCACCGGGAGTGCAGGAGCCACCGTTCGCCTGTACATCGACAGCTATGAGAAGGACATCGCCAAGATCTCCCAGGACCCCCAGGTAATGTCCACGCCCTGCGCCCCGGCTCCTTCTTTCTGTTGGAGGGAATGATCGTGCTTCCACCATCCGTCTCCCAAATGATCAAGTGCTCCCTTTCCTCCCTGTCTCTTTCAGGTCAGAACAACAGTCATAGCTAACAATGATCTGAGCACTTTCTATTTGCCAAGCTCTGCTCTAAACCCATTACCCCAATGGACATACTCATTTTATTCTCCAATGAGAATTATTATTCTCACCTATTATTTAATCCATTAATATCCCTACTACAGATAAGGAGTCTGAGGCTCAGAAAGTTTACGCGGTAGTTAATAGGTTCACATGCCCAGTAAGTGGCAGATGCAAAATAACTAATCTTTGGTTAAATCAGCCCCTGATCTGGTGTTCTGGCCTGTCACTGATTATTTGCCACTTTGCTTGGTCTGATCACCTGCCCTGGCAGAACACACACTGGCTCTAGATTTGGTCGGAGGTCAGGGGAAGGGAGGGAGGGACTGTTTCATGACCCAGTAAGAAAGGTCTTTATGGGGGAGTCTTCAGACTTGCAGCCTGTGTTTGGGTTCCCAACCCCACCCAAAGAGTCTCCAGAAGTATGTCAGAGTGAGAAGGGACCCCGGGAGGCCAAGGGTGGTACAGAACTTGGAGGACGGCCACCCAATTGGAGGGGAGGGTTTCCCCACCTGCGTTTCTCATCTTGGGAGCTGCTCCCCGACCAGAGCCAAAACAAGCTTAGGAAGTGTCACAGTACAACAGCCCCTTCTTGGCAGGTCACAACATACACTGTACCTTAGAGCTCTGAGAAGACTTGCAGTAAAGACGCCTGTTTAAATAGCCTTCACCAGGCCTATTTTCCCATAAAACGTTTTTCCTGCTAACACCTAATTAGAATCCTGTGAAACTCATTTGGAACCCTCTGGCATGATGCATTTGAGCATCTGTTCTGGAGTTAGAGAGATCTCATTTTAAATTTGGTGCCTGCCACTTAATAGCTGTGTGTCCCTGGGTAAGTCTTTTCAATGTTGTGAGCCTTGGTTTCTTTGTCTGTAAAATGGCAGAAGGCTCCTTACCTCGCAGCATTGTTACAGAGATTTATGGAGACAATGAATGCAAAATTCTGAACACTGCCTGCATATAGGATTAGCTTTTGAGAAAGTGACTCTTACGGTTTTTTTTTAGTTATTATTATTATTACAAAAAGAGAGAAATGAGAGGATGCTTTACTTTTAAAGTGTTTTCAGTGACCAGGCATCAGCACTAGTCATTGCCAGATCCCTGCGGTGTCAAGAAATCCCTAAAACTAAAATCAAAGGCAGTAGTGTCTGTGTTGTAGACCCATATAATAATAGAGCAAGAGGAAGAGGAAGGAAGTTGCGTTTCTTTGTCTGAATACCTGGCACGTGGTAGATACATTTCATGGAGCCCTCAGGAGATGGGAGGGCACTGAAGGATGCAGGGTGCCCACACACCCAGGGGTACCACCGCTCCAGCTGGGGACATGCCTTCCCCGACTCTGCAGCCGCTGGACCCCAGTCTCAGCACTTTGCTGGGATTGTTGGAGCCCTGAGGGGAATGGCAAGTGGTGCGGTCATCTTGTGCAGTGGTTCTCCAACTGTCTTCCAGGTACAGTGAGTTGGTGGAGATTTAGATGAGGGAAAGCACAGTGGGTGACAGAAGAGGTACTGCTCTTGACTCTGCCCTTGAATCCCTTGGTCAAATCACCTCACTTCTTTGGGTTTCAGTTTCCTCATCTGTAAAATGGGCAGTTTAACTAGATGCATAGTTTTCTTTTTTAATATTAAAATATTTATTTATTTAAGAGACAGCAGAATTCTTTTTTTTTCCCTTAAGTGAGAGGTAGCTGGGAGGGAGGTGGTGTTGCATTTTGAAAAGATCTCTCTGGGTACAGTGTGGGGAAAAATTGGAGGATGCAGAAGTGAACGTGGAAGCACCATTGTTCCAGGTAAGAGGGAGGACTTGGTTCAGCAAGAGCTATGGCACTGGGATGGGGAGAACTGGTGCCCTTGAGAGCGATGCAGAAGGAAGTCACTTGGGCTGCTGGTAGGTTGGACAAAGGGAACATGAAAGGAGAAAGTGTCAGGAATGACTCTTATGAGACAAGAGACAATGAGACATAAGACAAGACGTAACTTGTTCTTTTGCTTTATGTGACAGACCGTGGTGTCGATTCACTGAATACTGGAACTAGGTTTGAGGGAAACCTAGTCTTTGCTTTTAGGCTTGTAGAGTTGAGGGGCCTTTAGGATTTTGGAATAGGCAATCAGACTTGTGGGTCTGGAGCTCAGAGGCCAGGTAGGAGCCGGAGCTATGGATCTGTGTCTAGAGAAAGTGATGTCAAAGGTTGTTCTCTTGTGTCTCCCTCAGGTCATGTTGGCTCCCCTCATTTCCATTGCTCTGAAGGTGTCCCAACTCCAGGAAAGGACAGGGCGCACTGCACCCACTGTTATCACCTAAGAAGACAGGCCACATGTGGTACGTCCCTCCACCCCAAGACCCCCTGAGACATCTGATTGAAGAGCATGGACAGAAGCAAAGTGTGTTCACCCAGGCATTTTTAGGACTCAGTTTTTCCACTAACCAATTGTTGACAAATGGCACGATTCCAAGGCACTGCCAATTAAGAAGCCCGCAGGAGCCATGTGGGAAAGAGAAAAAAAGGACCCAGGGGCTTACACTCGCGTCAGTTTCTTTTCGTGTCCTTGTGCACTGCTGCCGTGTGGCTGTCTGTCTCCTCAGAACCAGGTCCTGTTTACACTACAGTGTAGGATGGAGGTTGAGCGTCAGCGAGTGAGGCCAGCTTTCATCCTTAAATGAAATCCTGAAATGACAGTGCAAGTTCCTTTCTCCTTTGTGAACCTTCTCCCCCATCTACTGTTTACATGGAATCCAGCAAAACGCAGTTTCTGGTGCCTTCTCTCCAGTCAGGTCTTCTGTCAGAGTGAGACGTACTTGTCTACAGATTTCCGTCTTGTTTTGCAACATATTCCCATTCACAGATATTTTGGGATATTAAAGCAAAATAAGCTACCATTTCTTGATGTCTTTTTTTTTTTTTGAGGGGGAGAGGGTATTGTATTTTGTTTCGATGTCCTAGCTAGGAAAAAAAAAAGTTCTCTGTGCTAGGTTTAAAATTAGACTCAAGAACTATAATTTCAAATCTTTGCAGGGTCAACTGAGCCCTGGATCTTTCCAAGGTGGATAAATTAAGCTTGACATGGTTAACTTGGTACAAGGAAAGGAAGATAGTTTTCAGGAGATCTTAAATAGCAAAGCACTGCCTTGTGCCTTGTGGTACTGAGATGCCACGCTGCCTGTTGAGGGGACAGAGGCCGAGCTCCCGGAATCTGAGAGCAGGATTACTAGCATTTGGCTGGAATCCTGAACCCACTGGCATCTAATTCATCTTAGAACATTTATATTCAGGCCCATGAGTGTAACTTAGTAGTTTAAAGCATAGACTTGGGAGGTAACAGATGTGAGTTTGAATCCTACTTGAAAACTTGAGTGGTGTATGAATATCATTCTCCTTATCTTTAAAATGGGCATGAAAATGGTTCTGTCTTTGTAGGGTCATGGAGACCACAAAGCAAGTGCATCTGTGAAAAGCCGTGGGCACAGTATCTCATTCATGGTAGGCTGTCAAATAAGTGGGAACTAGGATTATGTTTACAGTATTGTTTCTCGATTTTAAAGTATAGGAGAAGCAAAAACTTTAACACTAATATTTGAAATGCCTTTTGTGGTTTGGAAGGCACTTCCTGCAAAGTCGCCGTGCCGTATGGACCGTTCCAGAGAGACAGCCCAGCTCTGCATCCCTCCCTCCCCACCCCGGGGCAGACGCCCCATCCCAGACGGCAGGGTCTTTATCTGGGGTGAGATTTCCAATGTTGACAGTTAACAAAAGAGCCCAGCCCAGCAAGCAGAACTGAGCTTCAGCAGTGATGAGATGAAGATGAGAACTTGTTGAACATCAGCCCTACACCAGGCACAGTCCTGAGTGCTTTCCACCTACTTTTTAGATGCCCCTCCATAGCGCTATGGGCTAGCTACTTGGAATCTTCCCATTTCACAGATGAGGTTCAGCTAGTCATCCATGCTCACAGCATGGAAGAGGGTGGCCTGCCCCTGTGCATGGGCTCTAGTCCCTCTAGTCCTACACGGCTTACTGATGCTTCATATTGCCTCTTGTACTGACTGGCTGCTTCCAAGCTACTCCTATCAGGTAGAAGAAAGGCGTACAGACGCCCCTGTATTTCACTTATCAGAGGGTGACACTATGTGCCTTGGGTGCCAGAGACCCTGCTAGTCTTGGGCATTGCTGTCCAGCCCCCCACCCCTCACCCCAGGGATCTTGGTATCTGATGTATCGGTCAGCCAGGAAACACGTATGGAGCCACATGAAGTGTAAGATGCTGGGAGAAGCACACAGTCCCTGCCCCCCCCCCCCGCTGCCTGTGAGACTGCTGGAGGGCTGACGTCCCACACGGATGGAAGGCTGGATGGGATAAGTGCCTTAGGACTTGCGTAAGGAGACACCTGCTGTTAGAATCCAAATTTCCAAGCGCCTCTTCTGTTTCGGATGTTGGGGTAGATGCTTTTCAGTAACCCTCCAAGTGAGACACCCCGTGCCCATGTTAGAGCTGAGGCAACTGAAGCCCAACAGAAGTTTAAGTGACTTGCCCCAGGTTTTCAGCTACCATGTGGTGGAAGTGGAATTTCCCTCCCTTTCCATGACCCGATTCTGTCTCCCCATCTGTTGAATCAGCTGCAGGTACCCCCAGGTCGGTGGCCCCTGGAACGGCTTCAAAAATGTCCTCCTCAACCCTGGTTGTAATTTAGCTGCTTTCCCTGACTCCACTTGGCTACAGCGTTGGGAGCTGATAGCTCACGGGAGGAAGAGGAGGTGGTGGGGCCGTGTGGCTGTGGGTGTGGGCAGGGGTACGGGCCACCCTTCCTTCCTCTGTGGCTTCCAGAGACACACCCCAACACTTGTGGCCCCTGGAGTGCCGGGAGACGGAACCCTGAGAGGCTGGCCAGCAGCTCACAGCCAAGCTTCCCCGCCTCCCAGGATTGACGTGGTCTGAGTCAGGCCTGTTTTCTTTGGGGTGTGGTGAGGATTACAGGGAGAAAGTTGGGCTTGAACTGTCTGGGGCCCAACCCTGAAATTTCACTTTTCCCCTCCTTCTTGACGTTCAGCTTTCATCTCAGAGAAGCAGATTCCCGTTCAGGGCTGTTCCCCGGGTCCAGGAAGTGGCCAGGCTTCCAGGGGGAGACCCTGCCCCATAGAGAACGAGGGCAAAGGCCGAGCTCACTGCAGCGCTGGGGAGGCCAGCTCTGGGCCCGGGTCGCTCTGCCGCCTCCGCCCCGGAGCTCGTCCACGCTGCTTCTGCTGCATTTCCTGTTGGCTCATCAGACCGGAATCAGCCTTACTGTGTAAGAATCTGCCAGAAAACATTATGTGTAGGAGACACACCCCTCATGTTTTTATGTTCTGAACCCCCAAGCAAAGGGGGCTGGATACAAGTGACCGCAGCCATCAGCACAGTCATCACATCCCGCCTGGGTTACAGCAGAGGCCTCCTCGTGGCCCCTGGCCTTCATTCTTGTCCCCTCATCCAGTCTCCTCAGCACCAGCTAAGCGCTCTTTCAAATGCTGGGGTCCCACTGCCTTTGTGTGCATACAAGAGCCGCGCAAACCTGCCTGCCGCTTACCCCACCAGCTCCTCCTCCTCTAACTCCTGCCTCATGTTGGAGGCTCCGGTCGTGGGGCCACCTGCAGTTCTCAGGAAACTCTGTGCTGTTTTGTCTCCAGGCCTTTGGACCTGCATGCTCTCTGCCTGAATCACCTTTCCTCCCCACCCACCCTCCCCCATATTCCCCACCTCCCACTCCTTCCTCAGGTCTTCACTTAAACACTGTTTTCTTCCAGAAGCTTTTCCTGAGCGTCCAGTGTCCGGTTTGGGAGCTTTGTCTAGCGTTCCTGCAGCAGCGCCCTGTCCACAGCACTGACTGGGCTCGATGCTAACAGTGTGTTTACTCTCCATTTCTCCTGCTGCCCTGGAACGCCCACAAGGTGGGGGCTGCCTTCTTCACCAGTGTTTACCCAGGGTTAGCCCCATGCCTGGCACAGAGCATAAGTTCAGTAAACAATTTGGGGAATGACTGAGTGAAATCTGCTTCTTGTGTGGCAGAGTGTTCCCTTATGCTGTGACCTCTCCAACCTGTGAGGTCTGATTATCTTCATTTTACAGGTGGCAAGGTAGGTGACCAAATTTTACAGCCAGTAACTGGCTAACCAAACACTTTTTCATGAAGCTTTAGAGGCTGAAGGTGAGAAAGTGCCCAGGACAGAGGGTCGGGGTGGATCCTGGCAGCAGATGGGAGATACGTATCAGGGTCACTGAATAAAACTAGAGCTACACGTTAAAAAGTATGTTCTCTCCCACTACTGCTGAAGTTCATTGAGGGGTGTAGGTGGAGCGGGGTTCTACCAAATTAGCCTGAAGCCAGAAAGGAGTTATTTTTCTTCAAGGAGTAGAATCAAAGGCAGGCCTGAGCCCCAAGGCCCTGCTCTGAGCAGGTTCGCGGACCAGCAGCCACCATGGGACCAGATGGGCAGGCGAGCCCAGGGCCCCACACTCGCAGGGCACAAGGCAGGTCCTTCTGGATGACGGAGGGGCTCCCCTCCCTTCCTAGTATCAGAAGCAAGCAGCAGCCCCTTAAACCTAGCATGTCATTATCCAAAAGAAGTGAGGTCACAGCCAGTCAGAGCGTGTCTCATGTCTGTCTGCTTGTCCTGCGGGGACTTCTGAGGGCTTTGGTTTGGTCTTCTACCAAATGTGGAAGCTCTGCCTGGATCCATTAAGTCGGATTTGCGGGTGCGGACTAATACCTGTTTTCCCCAAAGCACGTCTTCTGTGGCTCAGAGTGCTGCTCTCCAGTCGACAGAAAGGCTCGGAAAGGTAGCAGTCTATCTGCTTTTCAGGACAGTGTTGTTTCGTAAAACATCCCATCTCATAAAAGTTCAGTCTCCTTTGGTTTCTGACTTCATTTCTGCACTGTGATAGGAAGGCTGCCATTTTCCCAGATAAAGAAATGGAAACGTTGAGTGTTCTCCTGTTCTGCACTGTCTCACAATCATGATAAAGGAGAAAGTTTCTATGGATTTGCCCCATCTGGACATTTCATAGACATGGAATTGTATGATGGGTGGCCTCCCGTGTCTGAGGAACTCTCATTTTAACACAGAGCGAGTGCCCCTAGACTAGGAGTTCCTCCAGTATGAAGGCTTTCCGTTCATTTTTGTGTTCACAGTGCTTGGCATCCACTCTGCTCATTAACTGAATGGCTGTGCAAATGAATGATGAGATACATGTGTGCAGACACTAAATAAACTCAGAGTCTGACCTGTGCTGAGCGGCCAGTGTGGGCCCAGCAGGGTGCTAAGTGCTTTGCAGGTGCCCTCACTTCATCTTGACAACACCCTCATGAGATGAATGCTATATTACGCCCACTTTACAGATGAAGGACAAGGAGGTTAAATAACCTGCTGCAAATTCGAAATAGTCGGTGGTGGAGCCAGACCACACTCCTGCCCCGGGTCTGAGTCTACACTTCTGAATTGCATGCCAAGAAAAGTCCTTTAGAGATAGGCTAACCTCCCTTGTCTGCAGCAAGAAAATGGAGATCTGTAGTGCACCTACAGCTGTTCATTGAGCCCATGCTCCGTGCCAGCCACCACACTACACGGGGGCCAAGTGCTGGTCAAGGACAAAGGCAAGTAAACCAACAGCGGCAACTCTCTGCACGGGCACCCGGGGGAGGCGGGTGCGCGCGCAGGGCTGTGGGAACGGCGGGCCCCAGGGCCTGAGCCAGCTTCTCTCCACCGCTGGTAGCAGAGCCACCTCCACGTGCGAGCTCGCGGGCCCGGCTCACCCTCCTCCACACCGCGCGGGGCTGCCTGGGAAGGGCGCCTGGCCTGCCGGGACTGTGAAGGCCCTGCCCTCGTCTCTCAGGACAGCGGGAGCTCG